CTGGCCAGCGGCCGGAAAGAGGCCGGTCGGCTCCGGATTTCCTGGCGTGGGCCGCGTCACAGACCTATCATTTCCTTGGACTGCGCGTGTGTAAGAGCTCCCCGACCCGGCGTGCTCTATGCGCGTCTGCCAGGGAACGCGAAACGTCGAGGACGTTACGTGACGTACTGTGTGGAGAGGGTGCGGGCGGTCATGCTGGCTGACGTTGATAGATTGATGGCCCTCTCCCTTGTTTCATTGCTGAAGTTGTTCTCGACTTATTTTATTTTCGAAAAAGAGATCTTTAAAGAATCTCGGGTATTTTCCTTATTTTACTTGGGCTTTGGGTGGTGAAATGGGAAACAATAGATCTGACGCAAGTTTGTACAAAGCTCTTCCAATTAAGTTCGATGATGGACTATGGACAATTCGTCAAGCGAAGAGCAAAGCCCTCGACATTTCTTCAAAAAGTTTTACTTTTCATTTTGCTACATAGATATTTATGTTTAAAGTAACTGATCGCCAAAAGCCGACCAAAACTTCAATATAATTCATGGCAAGTTCTGCGCTGGTATACAATTTTTCACAATTGCCAAAATAAAACAATAAACATATAATAAATAATACGTGTTATGATATAAGTGCCAGAAACTTTCTCATTATTACGTTTTTAAGTAAGCTAGATAATATGTTGAATTCAAACACTGTCTGGAGAGGAATTCTTTTTTCCGGTTGCATTGATTGTGTTTCGTGGTTTGTCTGATCAATACCGGATAAATGCTAGAGCGATATCGTAATAAATGGGTCATGGACCACGCACGATATTTTCTTTTTCTTCTTCTTCTTCTTCTTCTTCCTCTGTTTCATAATCTTACTTTATTGACACACATTTACACATACAAGATATTACCTTACCATACATGTCGGAAGACCATCCGGAAGCACAGGACTTGCACCGTCTGCGACAAGCCTTGTGTGGGAGTTACCTGGAAGAAGACCCCGCAAGTCGACAGCATCGGATCTCACAATCCAGTGGGAAGGAAAAACGTCTCCTGCCGGAATAAAACATTCACTACCCTGTCGGGACTAATGATCATAGCAGCAGACATACACGGACACATCGGACAATCAATTGAAATGAGAGACACTTCTCTGTAATCTTTCGCCATTTGCTAGATGCAATTTTCATCAACTGCATTGTCACTAACGCCAATCATAAACCACCCTCAGCAAACCCTGTTGGACGTCTAATACATACAAGCCTCCTCTTTGTGGCCTGACATTGAATATGCACCAATTAGAAAGCGTCTGGTTTTCATGGTCGAACATCTGCGATACATCGCAGAAGTCCAGGTGCCATAGGCCCTTTTTAAATGATAATAGAGATCCCTTTAATCAGCAACTTTTTTCTCATAGACTTTTAGACCTTTCTTACGCAATAAAATGCATTAATTGTTCATTCATTTCTATAGTAATACACAGTGATTACGCTAATTTACAAGATTTTACCATTCCTGCGTACCCCCTCTCTGGCACGTTCAGTTTAAAATATTGATATAATTTTTCCGATTGATTACTGATTGATTACGGACGCGTCAACTGCTAAGGTCATTATTACCGTAAGTATAGTGTGTGTTTTTGCTCGGGAGCTGGCGGTGATCTTGCCCCACTGAATGGCAAAATCCGGCGTCGACTACCTGTCGGCTAGCGAGGTTTTCCCCAAACAGGCTCACCAGAGGGCCGCCGCACTAGTCGGAACAGGCTCTAAGCTCTCGAATAGTCTCGCAGCATGTGTTGTGCATGGAACTGTAAAGGGCGAAGATTGGAAAAGGAAGAGAAAGGAAAGATTGCGCGCGGTTCGTGGACCGTTTTAAAGGGTACTGCTCCGGTGTCCCAAATTTGGTCCAATTGTAGTTTGTTTTTCATTCCCTTTTACCAGAAACAATGTAATGAAAATATGTTTTATAATGAAAGAACGTAGGTTGAAGATTGGATTTGTAAATATTTTGTTTATACTGAATCTTCATGGAGAGTATGGAAGTGAAAACTAATATATATCATTTTAAATTAGGTAATTTTCTAATATTTTTGTATCTCACTCTCTCGGGTCGCAGAAAATACACCTTCAGGGCGGTGAACCAAACCAGCTGCGTTTAAGCAAGGCTGTGTATTTGAATCCGGCGTGAGACACGAATGTGTTCTGTTGTGCTGAGGAATGGTATAGATTCTCAGTAATTCATGATCACTACTGAACCCAATTCCTTCCACCTCTCCGCGATAGGGCGTGAGTGCAGCGTAATTGAAGTGCAACTCACCCACGGGCCATTGCCACCATAACAATTTAAGAGCAGTCAGGTTTCGCTGCTTAGGAGACAAATCGGCGCGATGGTTTAGTGAAACTGGCGAAAGATTCAAGTTGTTTCGCCTGGATTTAAGTCTCAGGGTGTGACAGAGAGAGAAGGCGTTTTATTAAGAGCGAAAGATGTAAGAATGGAAATAGAAATACACTAGTGGCCTGGAGAAGCAAAAATGCTGCTGAACAAAACCACACAAAATGTTTTTTTTCTAAATGTAACAAGCACACTGCTCAAGAACAAGAAATAAAATACTCAAGTCTTCTTGGCTGGCCTCTTCCTCTGTGTCCCGCTGTCGCACGTAGTCATCTGTGTCGTATGCAGTGACACAGACGTAACACAATCGAAGATTTTCATTTTTAATTCACCCTGCAAACCGTTACGTTGTTACATTGAATTCTTGATTTTCTTACAAAAGCACAGACACCTTTTACTCAGCCAGTGACTGCTTAGTTTTCTATCTGCGTATATTGGAAATTAGTAACAAAAGACAAAAATAGAGACTTTAACTCCTTCCGAAGTGAAACGTATTTTACATCCGCATGTATAATATGTTTATTTTCTTTTCATTTATTGTTAATGTTCTAAAATGCATGTAGCTACAAAAGGAAATCAAAAAAATGGTTTATTCCATATTTCATTTCTTTTTTTTTTTTTACTCTTTGCGGATTTCTGAGAAAATGAAATGAATATAGTGGAGTTTAAAAATCACTAGTTTCTCATACAATCTTCAAAAACAATATTCGCCGACGTTCACACGGCGTGTATGATTATTGACCTAAACTAAGGTCATATACAATGACTCGCCAACTCCCACGGGATTGCGAATCCGAAGTCGTGTGATTCACCCATACTGCCCACCTCCGGCACCTGCAGAACTTCAGCCGAGTGTATCGTATTGTTCAGTGGTAACTCCCTCTGTTACCGCACCGCCCGGCCGTGATTGAGGTCGTGTCGTTAGTCGCTCGCGTGCGCAGTGCCGAACCGCCGCCGCCGCCGCCGCCGCCGCCGGCCCCACGCGGTCAGGTCCATCCCACCCGTTCTCATTATTAGCAGCCATTACCGGCACTGACCGCTGGGAAACGTCCGGCTTAGCCATTGCACGTAATGCTGGCAGAATTGTACGCTTCTCTCTTCCGAACTCTAATTGGCTTAATTACACAGGAGATTCTCGGCCTTTCCGAGGTTATGACCGGATGTGGACATGTGATCTGTACTCTGGACGATGATGTGTACGGACGGAGGAAAGTCATTGATGGTGCTCTGCTAGATTCGTGTCTAGAATACTCCCTATCGGAGGGTGATATTGCAAGCGTCGGAGGCGCAACCTGAAGTGAGAGGACCTTTTGGGTTTATTGAACAGATACGCAATACTTTTCGTGCCTTGTTTATTGTTCGATAAGGAGTGTAGTTGCAGTCATTTTAATTACATCAAACTTTTTACATATCCGTGGTAAACTCAATTTATATAATAATTTAAATTGATGTTGTCTTTAGTTGACTATTAAAAATATGTGAAATGATTTAAGATTTTAGCTATCGTGTTTGTAAGAAACTGTTTACTTATATAATGATTCACAAAACTATAATCCCCTTAGGACGTTATCAGTCCCTAATTTTGATTATTATTTTCGTATTATTTTGTTAACTTGATCTTTAAACTAATTTTTAATTTCTGATATCATCATTGGTCTTATTTTGAGATCTCATTGAGTCAATTTACTTTAAGTCAAAATTAAAACAAGTTGATAATTTCAAGATTATGGAATGTTAACTGTTAGAAGAAAAATAACAACAAAAATACTCTGTTAAACAAAATCGCCAACCGCGACCGTTGCGTACATCCACAACAGACATTTTTAACACTTTTCTTGGGTTCACTTCCACTGTATTTAGCACCCCAGCGATCTTTCTACATACTTTCATTTAAAAAATCCCGAAGTCTATAGATATTTTCAGAGTCTTCTCCAGCTCCCATATCGACTACAGCAAGATCAAATCTCAGTAGGATACGAAAGAGTTCCAGTGGTTTCTTTGGCCTGTTGGATTCGCAGCGGAGCGTTTTTTGCCGAATAACGAATTCAGATAGCTGAAACGTGTTTTCGCGCCGGGCGGCACGTGTAGCCGTCAACCTGCGATTTATCGCTCGATCGGCGTCCAGTATCGAGTTCATCATTGGCCGGCGCGGCACCCAGGCGCGTAGGAGCGGAACAAAAGTCGCTGAAACTAGGCCTGGGGAATCCGAGGGGCGCGGGGCGCGGGCCCCGCCATCCATAAAACATGGGGGCGCATGCCGCGGATGCCCCGCGGTTAATGCAGGAAGCTCTATGCAACGGCGGAACACCTCGCGGGATCCTGCTAGGCTGGCGGCGCGCCTCTGACGGCTGTCACTGTGAAGGATACGAGTTCGACGCAGTCGCCGCCGCCGCCGCCGCGGCCTCCAGACATCCGTCGAGACGCGCCGTCGCCACCGCCGCGCCGCGCCGCCACGGCCGACTCCCACTCGACCGCTTCGACCGGCTCCATTGCCCGCCGGGCCGTCCGTCGCCTGTGCACCCGCAGGTCCCGTCTCCACAGACAGGAGACTTCGCGCCAGTAATCCGTGTCACTTCATTCACGTTCTGCACCCCACCGCGGCTCTACCCTGCGCTCTCTTGTGTCTCCACTCAAGCAGTACCAGTCCCAGAACATTTCCTCCCACCTCCCTCACGCACAATATCTTCTCAGCTCCTCTCTGTCTGTCTCTCTCTCTCCCTCCTCTCTCTCTCCCTCCTCTCTCTCTATCTTTCTCTCTCTCTATCTTTCTCTCTCTATCTTCTTCTCTCTCTCTATCTATCTTTCTCTCTCTCTATCTTTCTCTCTCTCTATCTTTCTCTCTCTCTCTATCTTCTCTATACTATCATTTCTCTCTCTATCTCTATCTATCTTTCTCTCTCTCTATCTATCTTTCTCTCTCTCTATCTATCTTTCTCTCTCTATCTATCTTTCTTTCTCTCTCTATCTATCTATCTTTCTCTATCTATCTTTCTCTCTCTCGTTCTCTCTCTCTTCTTCTCTCTCTCCCTCTCTCGCTATTTTACATAAATTTTGTATGGTGCTCACACTCATTAATTTGCTTCTCCTCCCATTTCTCCTATATGTATTCAGGTAAATATTTGATTCATTTTCTTCGACACTTCACTTACGACATATTGTTATCTTCAATCCTGTCTTCGTTCAATCATTGTTTACCCAACTCCCCACTGAGACATTTTTTTTCGATTATTTCTCTTGCCCAAACTAGATCTTATTTGTTTGCTCTCAGGGATTTTCTGTGTTCAGCGTCATATTCTGCAACTCACTTTGCCAGTTTTCTCACTCGTCTGATTAATTTCCTTTACTACTTTGTCTCCCAGTCCGTCACTCTGCACTACCAGCGCAGACGTACGACACATCTTCATTGCACCGCTTGTCTGGCTGCGAACTTCTTCGACAAATCGTGCTGCTGACGCGTCGTTTGTTACAGAACGCGTGAAGAGAGCGTGAGGTACTGGCAGAGTTACCGTCGGTGATCGACGGCATGTGACGCTGAAACAGAAAGTAATTTGACGATTCTCTTCCTTTCTGTTCATTTACAATGAGATCTGAACTCTTATAGTCTCTTAAAATTATATTGTGTAAACGTTTACACATTTATTGTGCTATATAGTTAATTCTTGTATTCAATTCTTAGTTGCTTTATATTAGTTCAAATTGTGATATTAGTCTTTTGTTGTATACAACGTCCTTTTAAGTGTTGCCTTCAATAAAGTAGAATTTGCCGAAAAGTACATGTTTCTTGCTTCTTTTAAACACCTTCAGTGGTTTGAAATTGTATGTAATTATTCATCGTCTCACAAATATTTCATTTATTTTTGAAAATATTTCAATTAGTGCAAAAGAACAGAGATTAAGACGGACAGTTAGAAATGACGTCGTTGAATAACTACCATATATTAAATCGATTAGTAAAATAAATTCAAGAAAAATATCAAACTCCGATTTTTATGTAAGCCGAAAAATGCAAGTTTCGTTATCTAAATGTTAGCTTATCAGTGTCATATTTTTATGCTTCTTCGTTATGAAATCATTCCTTTTTCCTTGAACTCTCGGTTCAATCCTAAGCCAATTACTCATATTTTTGATCGTATTTATTGAATACAATTCTGAAACCAAATGTATCATTATCTCTTTTTATCATTTAAAGTTTTCGGACTTCCCGAGTGCTTCAAGCCGCAAGCACGTCATAACCATCATTCCACTCCCCGGATCTTTCGTAATACACTATCGAGGACGCTGAGGTAGGAGATCGCACTGAGTTAACAGTTATTGCATGAGATCATCAATGCCATGTCGAAGTGAAATTACTTGCTGAGATGGCCCTGGCAAAAAAGTTGCTGCCATTGCTGTGTCTCTGACTGGGAGGTCCTAGATTTTGAGGCCAGACGGGGGCGGGTTTTTGACTGTAGATCCATAGGATAGCTAGATAGAAACCAGCGGCTGTATGAAGGAAAATGAAGTAGCCGGCTGCACTGCTCGGTACTTTTCCGTGGTTTCTTCAATCAATGCCAAGTGCATGTCGGAGCAGTACTTTAACAAACGGGCCACGGACTGCGTGCGAACATTCCATCTTCATGCTTGCCCCGTCTTCTTTCCTTACACACATATAAAACATATTTACATAAACTACACCAACACACACATTGAGAGACCAGCCTGGAGCTTAGACAGTATGCTGACTGAGGCAGTACTCTTCTGAGAGAAGAGACCTAGATGGAGCCAATTGATCGATTCTGGGCGCGTCAACAGCTGAAGTCTTTTGTCGCGTAAGTGTAGTGTGTGTTTTCTCGGGAGATGGCGGTGATTTTCCCACGCTAGGTTATGTGATCAGTAGCCGACCTACTGTCGGTTTGCGATGTTTTCCCCTACCAGGTATCTCGCACCGGAGAGGTCCCGCCCCAGGTGGAGAAACCTCTAAGCTCCCGACAGGTTTCTCAGCATTTGTGGTAGAGTAGTGCATGTTGGTGTTAGTATGTGTAAGGTGAGAAGGGGAATAAAAGATTGCGCATGACCTGCACCGCTCCGACATTCGCCTGGTGTTGATTAAAGAAACTACGGAAAACCACAGATCAGAGCAGCCGGCCGCTCGAATTCCCCTCCAGACCGTGATAGAGCTCGATCCAGCTCTCTAGCTAGTGTCGAAAATTCTGCCTCCCTCGGGACATCACTTGATGCCCTGAGCCACCTCGCTCTGTGGGGAGGAGCCCACGTGTAGGTCGGCACCGGATTACGCGTCCCACCAGAATATTGTGAACTCCCGGCAGATAACACGCCCTACACATGCGGTAAGCAACACACCCGTAAGCACAAAAGAATCAAACAAACAAGCGATGAGAAATTGCAAAAAAAATTCCGTTTCGCGCGAAGTAATGAGGTGCGAGCTCCCCGCGAACGCGTCCTCCTCGTCCTCCCCCGGCCACACCGCCGCGCGGCGCCTCATCGGCTCCCAGGTCACGTGCGCGGGCCGGCGGCGGAGCGGATTCCGGCGCCTAAGTGAGACGTCGACATAGGCTGTGGGGGCGGTGGGGACCGCGGGGGTCGGCGGGGTACGGGAGTGCGGGGGGCGGGGGGCGGCGGCAGGGGAGGCGGGGGAGACGGGGGCGGCGGGTGGCGGGGGGGCGACAGGGGCGGCGGGGCGGCGGGGGCGGTGGGGTTTGCGGGGTATGCGGGAGGGCGGGGCGGCGGGGGAGCTGTGGGTGGGGGCTGTGGGGGGGCGAGGGAGGGGGCGGGGGCGGTCGCCAGGGGAGTGGAGACGACGGGGGTGGGGGCGGAGGCGCGTTCCGCGAACAATGCCACACGCGTCCCCTCACGTGTGTTGACGCCCCGCCACGCGCCGCCCGCCACCGCCCACCACATACCCGCGCCGCTGACTATGCTGTTGGCGTACCTGTCGTACAATGGAGAGATTACGAAACATCGTGTCGTGATTAGGTTCGAGGCCTTGACAATGTTGGTAGATGAGAATTTTGTTCGAGGTTTGGTTTATCTACTCTTGAGGTGGTACCGATATTTCTTTTTTCTGAGCAGGGTTATGTCTTACACCTAACGTGATACGCATGTGTTACTGACGCGAATGCGATTAGAAATTGTTTCGATTGGATTACATGTAACAATCTTGAACTTCTATCGAAGCTTCTTTTAAAATTTATTTTACCAGAGTAGTTCAGTTATCACTTTACAGACGAGTATTAGCGTTAATTAAAAGAATTAATGGCTCGAAGTTACAAGTAATTGTAAATTAGCACACTATCATACCCCTAATTCTAAAAGAGGACATCCCCACTGGGTATCTCTATGATGATTTTTGTTAATTTAGTGACATTTAATGTAACAAGAAAGTAAACAAGATAAAGAGAGATAAGTTGCACAATAATTTCTACGACTTATGGGCTACGGAGCAGATCTTTTAGGAGACGGAATTTAATTCCTATAGGAGCAATGCTGGTATTCCCGACTTCAATGTGAGAGGTGCAAGGGGCAGTTTTGAAGTTAGAAAAGAATTTGGACGACAGTACGGAAATGTAATCGGTAATTGGTTCTATGTCTAGTTCTCTATTAATTATATATCACAGAACATTGGTAATTGTACGAAGTATTTTATTTTGGAAGGTTTGTAAGAGTTTCGTAACGGAAGAATCGGCCCCTCCCCTGATTGGGGCTGCGTAAGTTATTGAGGGTCCTAGGACTAATTTGTAAATAATCAGAGTTTTCAATTTTTAGAGATGATTTTTTTGCTAATAAGTGGATATAATTTGAGTAGGGCTCTATAAGATTTATTTAGTCTATTAATAATATGTGGTTTCCATATGAGACAAGTATGTAGAAAGACGCCTAGGTATTCGATTTATTTATTTGAAGGGGTCCATGTAATCAGGTAATTATTTATTTTTGAAGGGGGAAAGATTTTTGTTCTTCACTAAGTAAAAATTTTGATTTCGCATTTTGAGGGGTTTAGTTGTAATCCACATTTTTTGTCCTTTCAGAAAAGTTATTTAAGTTTTGTTGCCGGTCATTTATTGATTTAGAGATTATGTCGCTGGTTGTTAAGATTGCTGCATCGTCGGGATAGAGAGTCGTAGCACAGTTTAATAATTCAGAGATATCTGCCGTGGAGATATTAAAGAGAGTTGGAGGGAGTGGGATCCTCAAGGAACGCCGGCTATAATTGGGGTAGGTAAAGATAGAGTATTGTTAAATATTCCGGTAGTTCTAGCTTACGTACTTTAAATAATAATAAATTGTGGCAGACTTTATCGAACGCCTGTGCGAAATCTAAGAAGGCCACTACGCAGAATTACTTAGGCTGAAAAGCCAAAAAATTCTTAATAGTTGGTGAGTTGATGAGTGAAGAGAACGAAATCCAAATTGATGTGGCGGAATTTGCATTTATTTTATTATAGTAGGCATTTAATATGATTAAGATAAGCTTTTCAAAAATTGTTGCTAATTCTGGTAGTAGACTGATTGATCTGTAACTTGATTGAAAATTTTGGGGATTTATTTATTTCGAAAATAAG